GAGAGAGAGAGAGAGAGAGAGAGAGAGAATGAATGAATGCTATTCATTCCCCTAGAGAATTTTAACAGCCTCAATCAATTCATTAAAATGCAAGATTGACTTTTGTACTAATTAGGAAATCTATGGAGTTTCCTAATTTATTGAAAATGGCAAATTAATAATTTAATAAATCCATCAACAACTCTTGCTCAAGCTCTGAATCAGGGATCATAGCCATGAGATGCCCATATACCTCTGCCCTCTTGCAGCAGGAAAGATTTGGCCATTGATCACTGTGTGCATTTTTACTTCCTGGTGAAAGGTGTGGACTTTATTATGTCAACTGGGCTTTATGTATTTATAAGCATCTCATCTCATGTACTGTTCCTTGTACTGGTCACAATCATTTTACTAACTACTCCCCAACTCAAACCCTCTGGTGAAAGACCTATTTGCTATCTCAATTTGAGCTCCATATGACTCAGGAGACCAGGTTCAAATCCCTGCTTAGCCATGGAAACCCACTGGGTGACCTTGGGTATGTCACACTCTCTCAGTCTCGGAGGAAGGCAGAAGCAAACCCCTTCTGAACAAATTGTATGAAGAAAACCCTGTGATAGCCTTAGGGTTGCCATAAGCCGGAAACAACTTGAAGGCACACAACAACAAGAAGGGAGCTCCTTATGATACTATGTTTTTAGCAAAAGTGCACAATTTCCCCCTCATTGTGCTATTCTAATTATTCATCTATTCATCCTTACTTCTATGCGTTTGTATTCCTTTTTTCTTCCAAGGGCCCTGCTAGGTAAAGTGAGCCCTTGTTCTTATTTGCCTTTCTGAAGTGCTGGTTGAGTATGAAAGAATTTAAAAGTGTAATCACTTCAAAAAGAACTTTTGGGTCCAAAATGTCATTCAGCTTTCAGTTTTACAAAGACAAGGGATAAACCAAAGTGGAAGCTTAACAGACGATAATTATTTGATGAGTGATTATAATGACATGACCTTTTGCTTTTGCATGCTGTTTTCTGAATAGTCGAATCCACTACTGAGCTGTCACAGCTGAAGTATCCTATGAGTATTTTATGAGGCCTGTGTCTTAAATGTTTGATAGCAGGAGGTTTCACTTCATGAGAGAAGATAGCAGTAAAAGAAAAAGTGCTGCTCTGGACAATGTACACTGTGATATTTTCTCCCTCTGGTGGTTGAGATGTGTGCAGCTGCCTAGCCACAGAAAGTCAGCCAGAACAGGATGATAACACTTTTGCTAATGTATGGGATCAATCTTCATAATATACATACTCCTTACCTCTCCTGAATTTAACTGTAATTCGCGCTGCAGCTGTGTTTTATCGCATGGCTTTTGCAGTGGAATCTGACTGCAGAGTAGATCCCCACTCCAATGCGAATTCAAAAATGCGCTCTGATGGCCATTTTTCCAAGTTGGACCAGGGATTACTCTGCAGTTGGATGCGGCTGCAAAAGGCGTGCGATAAAACAGCTGCAGTGTGAATTAGAGCTAAATTCGGAAGAGGTGAGGAGAATTATTTAAGGCATACGATAATCTCCTTACTTGGGCCAGGTATCCACAGATGGCTCTACAGATGATGATGGCTATGGTCCAAAACTCACTGCAGAAATAATCCAGTTTGAGACCACTTTAACTGTCCTGATTCAATACTAGGGAATTCTGGAAACTGTAGTTTTATGAGATATTTAACCTTCTCTGTCAGACAGCTCTGCTGCCACAATAAACTACATTTCCCAGGACTCCCTCGCACTGAGTCAGGGCAGTTAAAGTGGTCTCAAACTGGATTATTTCTGCAGTGTGTTTTGTACCTATGACTACAAATCTTGTCAAGAAAATCCTGTGATAGTTTTGCCTTAGGGTCACCATAACTTGGAAATGACTTGAAGGCACACAAGAACATCTTGTTTTAACTCATGTGTGGGTTAAAACTCACACCTTGGGGATAGGCGGGAAAATAAATAAATATTCACATCCCACCATACTGTACATACTTCAAAATATTAATGGTCACATATCATGGACCACTGCCAAAGAGCTTGTTTGAGTGGGGTGGCAGAGTATTCTTTCTCTCTCCCTGCCAAAGCAGCACCATTCACAGAGAAACCCAATATTTACTCCCCTACTAGTGGCTTCAGTGTTGAATTATGATTCTGAAGGACAGAGTTCAAATTCTTTCTTGGCCATGAAACCCACTAAGGAGATTATTGCATTGCCTTTCTCCCGATCTGAGCACAGATTGAGACCAGGCTGGCACCGTGTCTTATCACACAGCTCCATGCCCAGATCTTTACCATCCCTTCCCCGATCGGAATGTAACCCATTACGGAAAATATGCGTTTTAAACTAAGGATGGGAGAAGGATGGGATGGTAATGATCTGGGCACAGAGTCTGGTCTCAGCCTGTGTCCAGATCGGGAAAAGGCAGCTAGTGTGATAATCTCCTAAATTACCTTGTACATGTCACACTCTCTCAGCTTCAGGAAGGCAGAAGCAAGCCTCTCTGAACAAATATCACGAAGAAAACCCTGTGATAGTCTTAGGGTCACCATAAGTCAGAAATTACTTGAAGGCTCACAACAATAACAACTGATCAGAGGACCAGGAAGCAAATCCAAAGCAGGATTCCATGGTTGTGTCTGGCTGCAGGCTGCCTGATCTCACTGAAAGTATACTCCTTCAGAAGATGGCACACTATCTAAATGGGTAAAGCATAGTAAAGCATTGTGTATGGAAGACTCATTTATATGGTACTCCTATTTTTTTATCACTTGCTTTTAAGCCAGGTGTGGTGGACGTTTGTTTACTAGATTTATATCTTGCCTTTCTCCACCCACCTCCCACAAGATGGAAAGAGGATTTTTGTACTGCAGCTCCTATATATATATATATATATATATATATATATATATATATTGCTAGTTAAGTCTGATGTGAGTTACAGTCCAACAATGGAGTTTATCACACAGGCAGGATCCTGTGCAAAAATGGGATTTAAACTGAAAATTTTTTTGCAAAAGCAGATTGTTTTTCAGAGAACGTCTGAGACTAATCCGCATAGAAAGTGGAAAAAACCTGCAAAAGTGGGTTGATTTTCAGATGACATTGGGGTTAATGAGCAATAATGTTAACCTGGACAGAAAGGCGACAAATTGCACTTTTTACTTTCAGGATTTTCTAAAAGTAAAAAGAAGTGCATTTTGTCACCTTTCTGTCCGGATTAATGTCACGTTATTGCTCATTGTCTGAAAATCAACCCGCTTTTGCGGTTTTTTACCCAGGGTTTTAAATTCCATTTCTTCATGGGATTTTGAGACATTGCCTCCATGTGATAAACTTCAATATCTGGAGAATAACATGCTCTGTTAAAATCATGTGAAAAACCTATAGTTTGCATATTGTGTCTTGTGTTCTTTGGAGTGCATGGTGTTGTTTTTAACAGTATATTTTTGTTGTGTGTGGAAATGATCTCTGTTGTGTTCTCTCTTGCATAATCACATTTAATATTTGGATTATAGTTTTTACTGCTGTTCTTTTCATGGTTCTGTCTCAGTCCAATAGGATAGAATATGTTCTTGTGACCAAAGCTTATTAAGCTTACTCTCTTGTCTGTGGTTTTTGGTTTTAGGAAAAACTCACGAAACCTTTGGGGTTTTAGGGGGGAAAGATTATGAAATTACATGGTTTGGACAAGAAAAACAAAATATTTTGTTTTTTAGAAATGCTGCATGTGTGCATCTATTCCCCCCCCCCTCCAAAGTCTAATAAAACTTTTCTCATTTCATGAACTAATTTTCCTATCCCCACCACTACAGCCAAGAATGGTGGTGAACATTATGGCTGCAGAACATTAAGATGTTACAAAACGAGGTAACTTGTATTAGTCATTATAGAATATGAGAGGAGATAGATAACTTCTCTTTTTGGCAGCAGTTGCACATTTAGAGTAACAAGGAACATCCATTTTTTGGCCCAGAAAGTTTGCATGCAAATCAAAACCACTTGCTTATTTGATACTGTGGCTGTTATCATACCAAGAGCCATGTTTTTAAAATTACTGCGGTGTGACATCATTTCAGTTACTTGTAAGTCTTTATTCCTTGAAGTTGTTCAGCACAAAGATGCATGACAGATCCCTACACACACACACACACACCCTCTTTCTCTCAGGATAGTAGCTTAATTTGAATCTTAACTACCTGCCAAATTTAACACATCTCAGCAATAAACATTTCTTTCCTGACTGGTAGGGTAAGAAAGACAGTGTTGGCTCTTGTGTAACACTATAACTTTCCTTTTTATTTGTTATTATTATTTTAATGACAGTGGTGAGCATCTGATTTTGTTGTTGTTTTGATTATTCCCAGGTGTTTTCTCTTTTAGTCCCTTTCTCTGTTCCTTTAGCCCTGAATGTGACCATTAGGGCAAGAGCTGTAAAGGATGTGCTCCCCATTTCCTTCTGGGCCTGTCTCTTAACAGAACTGCAAGCCCACTGGCTTCCATCCCCTCCAATTCCCTGAGGTATCCAGCAAGTATTTGTGTTGACTGCCTTAATTTTCATCTTCTCTAATC